GTGATTATGTAAACACTGTAGATAGCAAAGTGACGAATGAGGAAATTGCAAAGCCATGTTTGGAGAATCAAGTGTAGTAGAGCACTTAGGTAAGAAGTAAAGGTTTTAGCAGGGGAATAATGAAAGGTATAGCTGAAAGGTTGTTTGTTGTTTGGGGCAAAACTTTAGGAGGGCCATGTATGCTGTAAGCTTTATCTTGAGAGTAACTGAAAGTTTTTGAACCAGGTCTGGGGTGATAGAAATGGTATTCTATCTGATATATCTGATGACACTGGATCAAATATACCATAGAGACTAAAACAAGGAGATCTATTAAGGGAATAGCTGAAAGCCAGTATAGTACAGTAGTTAAGTTTAGTACAACATAGATTCTGTAACTAGACTGTCTGGGTTCAGATCTACTTCTACCACTTACCAGTTTTATGACCTTACTTAAGCTCTATGTACCTCAATTTTCTTATCTCTAAATTAGAGATCATTATATAACCTTTTTCCTAGGGTTGACTGTCAGGAGTTTATAACAGCTTCTGGCACATATACTCACTCTCAGTGGTAGCTATTATCAATTACTATTACTTCTTTTGATACTCCAGGAAGAAACAGAAACCAGTTTAAGCTAATGTAATCGTAGAATACCTTCAACACCCAGAACGCACGCCCTGAAGGACATGTCCTACTATCACCTAGGGTGCCATTCACAGACCCCTTACCTACCACAGTAAGAATATCTCCTAAAGGGCTTCCAGTAAGGCAAAAAGAGTATTCTTTTAAAAAACCTGTTGGTCCTCATTAGTGTAGCTTGCTAATTCCTGAGCCAGGCATCACAATTCTGTAATAAAGAGTCAAGTTAATGATAAACTGTAGTTGCCATAAACATTAATAGTTAAATGTCAAGTGTTATTCAACATGAGTTCATTTTCTCTGAGGACTTGCTTTTTCTTTTTAATTTGACATACACTTATGATAAAGTTATTAATCTGTCTTTTCAGCAATACAAATTTTTAACAAAAAAGTGTCCTTTCTTAAGTGTTAAATAATTCTAAGATTAGGCTATGGAAGGGTACATGGGAGCTGCTAAAAAAAGAACTGACTTTTAAACTATTATTTATCAAAAGGATCTGAGAATGTTAAAGTACAATACTCTCTGAATACGTATTGGATATTGCAACTTTGTCCTGGATAGGAAATTAATGTGTAATATAAACTAAATAATATTAAAACATCCAAAATAATATCTCTTTTTTACATGAATTTTGAAGAGCTGATGACTAAATTGCAATGTGGCATAGTAATATAAATCTAAATAGAACAATACCTTTGCCAGAAATAAATAATTTGTTTGAAAAACAAATATTAAAACATCCAAAATTTTACCTCTTTTTTACATGAATTTTG